GCTTCCTTGAAAATCGCTGCATGCTTGGGTTGGATCTATTGTTCCTTTACCACTGAAAACAGTGAATTGTGGATTCTAAATTTCTAGTTCTTCAGAAATGTTTGCATCTGCATAACAAGATATGAAACATTCTAAGGTCAACTTTGAAGACTTTGTAGAGGGACTTTTAAATATCTCATAAGGAGTAAATTCAATTTCATTTTTCTTTTTTTTTTACCTTTAGGGTCCATCTTATTCTGTGGAAAAGACCACTTGTTCTCAAAGATTTCATAACCTTTTTCTTTTTGTTAGTTGCATAATTTAGTTAAGAGAACTCGTACTGAAAAGATTTGTGATTTGAAGACAGTTTTCTTTACTGAAAAGCAGTTTGTTTTTTTTTTTATTCATAGTGCCAACAGAAAAAAAATACTTGCTACCTCTGTCTCTCTCTAGATATCTAAATTTATCTTTGCACTGTTATCTTGTACTATGGAAAATATTCAGGCTTACTTAATAGCCAGTCACTCTTTATTTTATTTTATTGTATTGAGTTAATCTGTCTAAATTTTCTGGGGAAAATATTTTCAGTGAATAAGCTTTTCTGAGTGTAGTTGTTACCTTCACTTTTAGTATGATCTAATTGATAATTCAGCCACCTTTCTCAACTTCTTGACTCATATGGCTTCAGGGTTAGACAAAGTCTTCACCAACTTCAGAACCAGTTCATATGGATCTGTGTGAAACCTATTTGCAGAAAAAAATCATATATTCATGATTGTACTTTGTGTCTGAGAGCATGTGAACCAGTTTCATTTCAGATTAAACTAATGTGGGAGATACTCCCCAGTCAGGGATTCAAACCACAGAATCAGACTAGAGTTGAAACGTTCATAGCAGGGGCATCAGGTTCTCAGTACTGAGATGTAGCCAGAATCACCTGAAGACTGGCAGTTTGGGCATTTTCTTGAAAAGGGGCTTGTGTGTATTGACCTTTCCATGCACATGTCTGAACAGCTGGCCTAGTAGTTCTATTTCTGTATTTAAAATAAGAAAAACCAGTTGGAGGAACTATCCAACAGTGTTGCCCTTCTTCTTCTGTGGTTGGCATGACTTCTAAATTAAATATAGTAGGATGGAAGGAAACACTGCTGAAATCTAGCCCCTCTACAGGCAACATCTCCTTGATAAAGGTGCCCTCCTACAGTTCTGAGTATAAAGACTCCTGAGTAATGCTAAAATAGGAGCAGCCCATCATCACCAGGCAGTAGGATGAGATCTGCAGGGAGGGCAGTTTTCTTCCCTCAGAAGGTGGGATGGATTTTGCATGGATAACGAACAACTGTGCCAGGCTGTGAAGCTGCCATGGTAAGCCTCAAGTTCTGTTACTAGATTCTATCACCTAGAAAGAAACTCTTAAAAAGTTACCAAGTGTCTTTCCTTTTGCTCTGCTCCACAGCTCAAACTGAAACATGCTGCAGAAGGCTGTCCATTTTGTCAGGAGTTGGCATTTTTAAAAGCAAAAAGCGGTAATCAAAGAATGATTCATCTCTGAAAACACATTTCCTTTTACTATTAAGGTAACAGTAGAATAACAGAGATCTTTCAAAGTATTTATGCAAAGCAGCATATTATTAAGCTAGTAATGTAGTCTAAATTCAAAGGACAAGATCAGGCTGCTTTAACTTCCTCTGTTGGTGCTCTGGTTTGCCTATCACAAGAAGACAGCTGTAGATCAGAAAACAGACACGCTCCTGGCAAGTGATGGGTCTGTGTGAGCAAGAACTTCCTGTGAGATATTGAGCCGGTCACGGGCAGCTGCTCTGAAATTTGTTAAGTAATCTATCTAGTATGTCTAAGGAGTAGCATATCCAAATCAATCCATCCAAATGCCTCAGGAATATCAATAAATAGATAATAAATCTGATCATTCTCTGTGATCTGCTCTGGTGTGAAGCTGCTGGGGAAGCCTTCTACAGGATGAAGATTAATTCTAGTACACGTTTGTTGTGGTGACAAATGCTCTGTGCCAGAACTGTGGCTGGTGAAAAATTCATTTCAAATTAATTTCAAACTTTATTTTGTGTACTAATCTGCTGTCATGAAACTGAATGGCAACAAATGTTTTCAAAAGGGGAATAGACCCAAGGTTTGCAAAAGGAGCTTTCCATCCTTTTTTTTTTTTTTACTTTTGTGAATTTCCCACTTAATTTCTGTTCAGCAAAAGAAACATTTCACTCTTGGTTATTGTTCTAAATGTTAAACCATAGTAGTGATAGCAATAAACTGTTCTTTAATATAATGCAGGAAATACAAAGGCTGAAGGGGTAAGGTAATAAATGTATTTAGATAGTTAATATCTTTACCAGATTAGTTATTTAGTTATCAGTCCTTTATGAGAAGTTAAAAAAAATATCCACTGTTCAGGCACAGTCCTGAAAATCAGTATGTTTTTTTTTTTTTCATTAGACTGTGTGTCCTGGTTGCAGCTTAAACACTGACACTGTGGTAGGTATAGAATCAAGTATGTAATCTAGAAAAGGTGTCATATATAATTTATTATTTTTCCATTTGTTACACTATCTCAAAAACCTTTAGGAAAGAATCCTAGCTTCTGCTTCTGACTCTGACGTGAAAGGAGTGACCTCTCTCAGTGCAAATAGGAAATATTTTTAATGTTTGAAAACCTCAGAATTCTATTTGTGAGCTCCACTCTAAAAATTATCAAATATTTGGGACTAGCTGCATCTTCTCAAATTAACTTCAGAGGCCTTGAAGATCAAGACTAATACTTTAGCCACCTACGTCTTGCTCAGTGAAAGAAATTGGTATTTATTTTAAAAATAAAGAGCAGAAAGGAAGAGTTGAAGTTTCAATTTACAAAAATAAAAGCAGAGCAACTGTTAATTCATGTAAAACACTATTTTCACAATCTGAATCTGCTAAATTTCAGCATTTGGATTGTAGACTTTTTAAAACTTTACAGATTGTAATTTTTTTCTCACATTCCTAAATTTTTGCTGCACGAAAATCTGACTATGCCTTAAAATCAAACAGAATAGTCTTCGTCCTCTTTATTCATATTACCATACTATCATAGTGTCTGCCTTCTGCAAATCTAGATAAGGAAAAGTTTGTGTTGAAAGCAAAGTAGATGGTGGACTCCAAGTACCCCCCTACTCTCCATCAGTGAAGTCTTGTCTCTCAGAAATACCAGATCTGCTGATGGCACTTCGTAGACTCTTTCTCATTGACTCTTGGAAAAGGGGAAGAGCACTGTAATGTCTGTCCAGACAGGGATGGCTGTTCAGCACTGCTCAGCATGAAGTTTTCAGAATATCCTCTTTTCCTTTTTATATCAATTTTCTTTTTAATTTTATTTTTTTAACAGACAAGGGATCTTCCTTTCTTTTCTGCACATTTTGGAAAAATCCCAGCCTTTAGTCCCTCAGGGGCTGCTCTGGTGAAGGGCTGAGAAGGTGTAGCCCAGAGGGCAGAGTGTGGAGGTTTCATGTATGAAAGAGAACAAGTAATACAGGACTGGGTCAGCAGCTTGTTTGAAGTTAGGCCTTGGCTGTGAGCAGAACCTTACTGCAGAACCTTTAGCAAATGGTTCAATCTACAGAATTCTTAGGGCTTGAAGATTTTATTTAACTGTTTATATTTTACTCTTTTATCTTTTCATCTTTTATCTTGGTGCAGGGCATTGATATTTCATGGTAATTTGTTCCTATTCCATTTACCTAAACTAAGTGGTTATTCTCATTCCCTATCCAAGAGATGAACTGTGATAGCATTTAGCATGTAATATCTCAGTACCATAACATTTAGTTTGGGGTTTTTTTCCCCTTCCTGATATTTACTTCGGAGAGTTATAAGGAAGAATATTTTATTCACATTCTTCAGGTAGGCACTTGGTTTACAATCTTCTCAGAATAGATTATTGAAGATATCTAGTTTTTGTCTTCAGTCCCTAAAAGAACTTCAAACTCAGAAAGACACTGTTGCAAGGTATTTTCTTCTTGTCTTAAAATAATATACTTAAACTGTGGTCTGCATACTGTCAGTGAGGTTCTGATGCTCCAAACCAAGATGGTACGAATGATATGAAGTTGTTTGTCCTTTATACAATAAAGGATTAGTCTTATGAAAACTTTATTGCCTCTGTATTGAAGTTTTGCATGTTGGCAAACCACTGTGAATTTGGCTCAAAATCTGCTGATGCCTGTGAAAAGAGAATGCTCGAAAATAATGTTTATAGAGTTTGTATTTGTTTAATAGCATTTGTATTTCTTGTGGTATCAACTTGCTCTTTAATAATCAACTTCTCCTTCTCCATTTTCCCTTTCTGTGTGTGTTCATACTGGTTGCATTCAAGTCCATGTGGATTTAGGAGCAGAAGTCAGCTTTCACTTTGGTTAATGCATTATTGGAAAAATTAATGAAATAACAATAATACGACCATCAATTGGACATACATAGACCTCTTTAGTTCACTGAAGTCTAATTCTACAATGCTTATTTCACACTTCTGCAATTGCTATATATTTTGAAACTGTTACTATGATGTTCAACATTCTATTGTATACTGGATACTTGGCAAATACAAGAAAGCTTATAATCCAAAGCAACAATGTCTTTACTTCTAAATGGCAAAAATCAGTTTTTCAAAGAAAAGCACTTTTTATATTTATAAACTGAATTGGGGTTACTGATGATGATGCGTAGATGCATAACTCATAAAACATGGGCTTGTACTCTAGAAGTCAAGTTTGCCAGTTTGAGGAGTGGTGAAGCTTATTTGTTTTTGTTTGTTTTTTGTTTTAGTTTGACTTGGGGTTGTTTTGTTTTGTTTTGTTTGTGGAGTTTTTTGCTTGTTTTTTTTAATGTTTGGGTTTTTTTCCTTGTGAAACATCAGACTTAATAGGCATGAATTATATAAAGATAATCTTGGAATTATACAGTGGAGTGTTTTTACAGAGTCTTTGTTTCTGAAAGAACTGTGATTTGTCTTTCTGTTACAGATCTGGAGGGTAACATTTTCTGTAGATGAAAACTTCTGCCTGCTGTGATATCCCACTCTTTGAGTAATGCCACATGCAGCACTGAGTAGTACTGGCAAACGGAAGAGATTTCGTGGAATGAGGTAGGTTTATTTCTTTCCCATGAGGCTTGATGAAGTTCTTCATAATCGCTTTTCTCTTTAATATAAATTAAGTCAAACAGGTATTCCCAGTCTTCCAAATTTTGGAACAACATTAGTAATCTCAGAGCTATTGCTGCTATTACTTGGTTGTACCTTTAAATTTACTGGCAGAAGATATTTTCAAGGTATCACCATTTCACTGCGGCAAAACCCACCATTCGCAATCAGCAACAGAAACTAAGAAATTAAAGGACTTATTTAATTATTCTTTATGATAGTAGTAACTTCTATAATGTGAAAAATTCATTGCTTGTAGTTTTAAAGACTATTGGAACATCTGCAGAAGAATCAAGTGGATATGATGTTTCCTCAACGTGGTGCTGCAGAAAATGGAATGGAGCAAATCTGAGCTAGGAAAGCAAGAAGAGAATATATATGAAAAGCTTAGAGCTCAGGAAATAGGGACAGGACCCCTTCATTAGCAAATCCTGGAGTACTGCAGGGTAATTTTAGAAGCTTGACAATGGAGGGAGCAGTTCTGAAAACAGTGTTGTGCTGGATCCAGATTTCACTTCACCTTGACTTGTCATTGGTTTTAGTGGCTTCTTCTTTTACTGAACAAAGCTATTAATGCATCCAAGTGTTTTACTGTCCTACAATGTTCTATGAGCTTTCATTAGTCTCCCAGTTTTGTTCCAAAGCATTCTTGGAATGTTGTGACTGTTACCTGTGACTACAAGTATACTGTGTTGTCCCTCTGTGCATGTGTCATCAGAAAGAACAGATCTTAAATAGTGTTCCATAACCAAGGCCGTTTCCTAACAGAATGGTTTAATGACAGTGATTTTGAGAAAATTTGCTTATTATTAATGTTGTTGTTGTTTTTATTATTGTTATTATTATATGTCATCTCTGGTCCAAGTGCAGTGAAATGAATAGACACAGCCTAATGACATCGGTTCCAGTTTAATATTTTCTCACTGGTGGTAAAAGACATATTGAGGTGAAAGTTTGTTACTTAAACATGGGACTGGTAAATATGACACAAACCCTGCAATAGACCCACAGCCATCTGGAATGGCAGCTGAGCCCTTGGCAGGATACCCTAGGGTATGCAAAATGCACAAGTTGCCTATGCTTGGCGCTCCTATCCTATATGTTAGATATAGTTTCCCTCAGGAAACGATACAACTTGACCTGATTCAGTTTGGATCGTGATAGGTTGTAATCTCAGATTCAGATGTGATCTTGGATGTGAGGTGTACTTGGAGACCTGTAAGGAAAGAAGGGTTGAAATGAAGCAAGCGAGGCAACAACTAGGAGGATGTTAGACAGTAGGGGGGCTCAATTTATCTTATTTTGATTGCTTTTTCTACTTATACTCTTCATGGGCTAGCAACTCACCACTTTCAAGTGAGTGACATCTTTTCTGAGTTGTTCTGTCATGCATTATTTCACAAAAAGAAATGTATTAATTGCTCTATGCTGTACTGCATCCCCTCATTGTGTACCAAGTGTAAGGGAAAATATTACGGTTGGTATGTGACATGTGGAACTAATTTGCCTCCATTGGAGTTCAGGGAGAGGTCTTGGCTATTACAGTGGATGAAAACATTATGAATTTATAGGCACCTCACCTCATGATGCTTCATTTGTAGTTTACATTTGTGGTGATATACTATGAATAAAATATGGGGACCATATTCCATTGAGATCAGTAGGAGTTTTTCTCTCAAATTCTACTAGGCCATGACCCTGGGAATCTCTGCTGGCTCCTGGTAAAAGATTTGTTCTGTTCATGCCTCTAACTAGACCTCCTCTGAGGACTTAGTTTTTAATATTGCTACCAAATCTGCTTCTTAGGTAATAATTCTCTCTTATTGAAGTTTATTTGTACTTTATTTGGGGGATCCTATACTCAAAGGAAAACATGTTTCTATACCTATATTTTTCTACCTTTAAATATGGCATATTGTTAGCGGTAATTATAGACTGACTCTCAGGAAATAGTATCTGATAAAAAGAGAAAGGACTTCAGAATAATTACAGAAAGGATAGGGTGGCAATCCTGCAGGTAAGATGTAATATTAAACTATTCTGCTTTGTTGATGGCTACAAAATGAACTAGATCACTTAATAGCTCTTTAATATCACCAGTTTCTATGACTGCAAATTCCTTGAGTGTATTGTGGATTTTCCTTTATCAACTGTTTGGATTTGATAGGCTTATTTTTGTCCATGAGTGAAAGGAATTATTCTTGCTTTAGTAATAGACTCTTTCACGCTCCTACTGTTGGAGCATGTACCGCCCACAGGCCATTCATAACTTACCAACCCTTTTACTGCAGGGCATCAAAATTCTTATTTTCTATATAATATTGCTTCTCTATCAGCTGATGTGTAGAGTACTTTGCTCTGTATTCCACTCATTGTATAGAGCAGGCATAAGAGTATGTTAAAATAGTTGCATGACGTCTGAAGATAAATTTTGGTTGGCAAAAACATGAATGCTACATCAAAGCTGTTTCTGACCCTAAAATATTTTTTAATGTGAGGATTAATTGCTTTTGAAAAAAAGGGACATGTGAAATGCTGAGTGTGCTCTCATCCAATATCTGATTTCACTGTTTCGGTATCTCAGGTTCATCAGCTCCTATTGGAAGTTTTGCTCTCTTGGTGGATCTTGTTTTAGGAAACTCACAGTGCTTTTCATTAGAAATCCTTTCCAGTTCAGACTGGGTTTTTAGAATTACATCAGTACACAGTTTATGCAGTGTATGTGTGCATATATATGTGTATGCTCAAGTGTCTGTTTATGTTGGGATTTTGAAGCTGAGTGGTAGAGATATTTTAAAAATCTTCTCTTTGCATGTTCAGGCCAAAGTGTCCGTACAAATGCTCCGTTATACTTTGTTATAATTAGTTATGCCAGAAGGGAAGGCCACGAAGGTGTTAAACCATTTATTGCCTATTCCTACGGTGCTAATTTACCATTTTATGCATTTTGCATCATTCCTTTACAAGTATGTACAAAGCAGATTTTCTGTCTCGAAATGCCTTGCTGAGGCACTGCTCCCATAGATAATTATCCTAGCTTTGGCACTTCCTCGTGTTTGGGATGGTTAACTTTGCAGAGGGGATGGGGGGTAGGATTATTTTCACCAGGGAAGAGCATGATGTCTGTTTACCGTGGGTATTGCTGCATTTAGTTGTGTGTGCTCTTCCTGGTTTGTTGCCTTCTCTACTGAGCTGTGGGAGATATTTAGGGCAGTCATGTTGTGTACATGTATATTATATAAATAATAAACCAGAATACTCAATCTTGCTAGTTCCTGTTCCTTCATACTCATGAATTAGTACTAATCCTTTGCTTTGTTAATTAACTTGCCAAAGCAAACCACTTAGTCACCTGAAAGAGTACCAAGAAAACAAGATCCTAATGCTCTTCTCATCACAGTTGTCCCAGATGTTAAAGTGTTTGAAGTATCCTGTAGGTAAATAATCTTAAACTAATTTGTAAAGAACCTAGTATAAATAAATCCATTTTTTATACAAGATTTCATAGTGATAAGAATGTTTGATGGAGGAAAAATGATTCAGTGCAATTTGTAACTTGGAGAGCGCAATACATTTGACTCCTTTTTCAGTATAATCCAAGGAGTTCATCTGTTGCACAATGTTCATTTTTAATTAAACATTTTATCATCACGCAGACTTTTATTGACATTCCTCATAATAGAGCTGATAAGATCTTGACCTGCTCTTCAATACAGCGATGTATAACTCAATATTCTGGCACACACTGTTCCCTTCAGAATTAAACATACGATTTTCTGATTTAATTTTAAAATCTTATGTACTTTTAGTCACATTTATTTACTTTAACTTCTCAGATTTGTGCCCTTTTTGACTTATGCAATTTGGGAGCAACCATTTCTTGGACTATTACTCCTGTTTGCTTGAGCTTTTATCCATCTGGAAGATTTTATTGAATTTTTTTCTCCTTTCTTTTCCGTTCTAAAATTTGCAATGAAAGGTGATTTATCGCCTAATCTTGTTTCCTACTGTACCTTTTGAGTCCAATTTTGATTAGATACACTAACTTCACTCACTACTGCCTTAATCACAGGTTTATAGAATTTCTACTATCACAGAAACTCCTTCAGTTATTTCATGAGAAGAGATTCCTTATGTCCCCAAAGATGAATTGTGAAGCAGATCCCTGTTGGTAACCTTAAAGAACCCTGTGATGTAAAGCTGCCCATGATCATGTGTTTAGCCATCCTGATAAGCACCTCTGTAGCTGGGCAGGATTTTGTCACCTGCAGGAGGGGAATTGACCCCTTCAGTTGGTAGCAGCTGCTGTGGTGCTGCTGACACAGGAGACATCTGGACACAAACCAGGAGTTAGTTGGCCATAGAGCAGCATCCAGAGGAAATAAGCTTAAATCTCTTTTCCAGGGTTTGCTGTCTCATACATTAGGTTTTTTATGTCAGAAACTGTAGTGAAAACCAGAATTCTCTAACATTTTGCTGCAGCAAGTCACCCCTTTTGAGTTGAGCACCCACTATACTCACCTAGGTACCTGAAGACCATCAGGTGTCGTAAGACCCAATTTTTTCAGTAATTCCATACCCTACCAGCTATATCAGCTGTCTCAGTTGATAATCACCCAACTACCCTGTGCTTCTCTTCCATATAAGCAGCTCTTGCTGTTTATCCTTCTCCTTGTATCCCAGATCTGTCACTGCTCACTATAAATGTATATTGATTTGAGCTGAAAATATTGAGATAATTTAATGAACTAATTTGAAATTGCTTTATCTAATAAATAGCATATAGTGCAGAACTCCCTAACACTTTGGAAGAGTTTTAAAGGTGGGGAAATACTCAACTATTGAGGATATATTCTTTATGCCATCACAGATTTTTAATCTTGCTTTGTCAGCATAGCAGAAGTTAAAAATTGCATAGGGCCTCTGACAGTAGGAAGTTACCT